GTATCTCGACTAAAAAAAAGCTCTTAGCGGCTTTGACCAGTGGCAAGCCCAGGACCAAAGACGTCACATTTTGCGTGCTTTCGGTACCGCGGGTCGCCCTCGTCGGTGGAGGAGCTTTCCGCGTCGTCCGGTTAAAATATGATGCACTGATATTTAGTTACTCTCTCCGTGCCCGCTGGCTTGCCCGAACCCCAAGAGACGTGGAAACCGCAAAAAAGGTAGACGCTTAAATATGATTGCAGGGCCCCTTTAATAAATATAAAAGTAACATCAGCCACAGCCCTGTACACAACGATATATATTACGCATAGTAGAAATTGTTTTGTTTTTGCGCAGACCAGTGCTGCAATGACGAATGTGTTTGTTACATGGCTGTAACCTTTTGTGGACATATCTTTTGTGATTTTTTTTGCTCCTTTGATCATTTTGTGATTATACGTCAGTGATTACGAATCAATGTCGTATGAATGATAGTAATCTTTGTGTGGCATTATCTAGCTAGGTTTCGAATTTCAAAACGTTTCTTGAATTATTTTCTTATTTCTTGTAATACTGTATATTATTTATATTTGTAAAATAATTTCTACAATTTTGTGTAACAAGTGTGCAAGTTTGTAGCTATATAGATATATGTATTTTGTTCACTTTCTTTACGTATATGGCAACTAATGCGATTGTTGTGCTATAATGAACTGTGGGGGTAGAGGCCCAGTCAGGCAGAAATGCCTTTTGTCCCTGCCTCCCTACCGGGCCTGGCCCGTGAGAAACCAAATAAACTTCAAACTTCAAAAACTTCAAACTTCATCAAATTAGCCGCGTCTAAATGTTGCCAGTAATGTCCTTCATTTGTGCATGACAAACGTCAGAGAGGCCTCTAAAGGCGCTGTTACCTCGTTGAGAAGTGGTTTCCTCCTTTTCTAGTAACGGTCTCCATTCCCCTGACTCTAAGCTCAAACAAGCAGACTCTGGTGTTTGATTATGCTCGCGCTAACTCCTTGGGACTGTACATGCATCCGGACGATACTGACTGGGACACTGTCTTGAAATGTGCCGACATTGACTGTGCTGTCTCTTGGCTGACAGATATTGTCAAGTCTGCTTTGGAGCGGTTTACACTGGTAAAGGAGAGCATCCGAGGTCCCTGCTGGTTCTCACCTCATCTCCGGCTATCACGAGAGATTCTCTGGCTCGGACAAATGCCGCTCTATATTCGAGGAGCATCACTCTAAGGTGAAGCGATCGACTAAAAGAGACAAACGCCTATTGCGCAATTGCATCGAGTCTCACCTCAGGCGGCGTCCCGACCAACTTTGGGGATATCTTAGCTACACTAGGCTATCCAGCGCAACTGAGGCTAGCACTCCGAAGACTCTGACCGGTCACGTCTCCGACTCTTCGGGTGTCTGCAAACTATTTGCTAAACACTTTTCGTCCATAGTAAACCCCAATGTTCCCCAGTTTAAAGACGCAACCCCTTGTCCCAATATTCTCCTTCTTATGTCAATTCCTGTATTGACAATTCATAAAAGCCAAGTGAGGCGAGCCATAAAAGAACTTGCCCCAAAAAAGTTGCACGGGGAAGATGGAATTTCTGGCTTCCCTGTTAAAGGATGTTCTGTAATCTTGGCTCCTGTACTGCAGTAGATTTTTAATGTGTCGTTAAAGACGAGTACATTTTCATTGGCGTGGAAAAATGCTCTAGTTGTACCAGTGCACAAATCTGGGAGCTCTTTGTGCGTCAATAATTATAGACCAATTGCTCCGCTTTCTGCTCTCTCCAACTTTTTTGAGAAAGTTGTTTTTAAGCATCTGAGTTTCTATTTAAGACCAATGTGCTCAGTCCAAATAAACATGTTTTTTGTCGTCGACGATCTTTTGAGACTAACCCTGTAACCTTTTTGGAGTCTGCAAAGCCTATACAGTCAAACTCGTTTATAACAAACAGCAGGGAATGCTACGATCAGTTCGATATAGCAAGTAGTTCAATATAGCAAAAAAGCATTTACAACGAACTTCCGCAATGAGCTCGTTGTAAGGCGAGAGCTTTTCTTTCTTTCTCATCTCTTAACTTCCGCCTTGTAACAACGCCCTAAAAAGTTTTTTTTAAATTTTTTTTTGCATGCCTGCGCATTTTGTTTTTTAGGTTATCTCCCTTTCTGAATTGTTTGTCTTCGTGGGCAACCGCTTGGGATGAATTTTTTTTCTGTACGTGCATGCAGAGTGTATTTTTTAGCTTTCTCCCCTTCTGAGTCGCTTCTCTTCGCTCAATTTTGTTCGCCACACAGAGCTTTTGGAATTTTCTTTCTTTCCTACTTCTTTTTTGGGGGACGGGTCAGGCTAGAAGATGATTGTTTTCGCGTTTTTGGAAGCCTTCCTGGGAAAAAAAATTTGATATAGCCAATATGTTGTTCGTTATAACACATACTTTTTACATGCATTTTTATTTAAAATTTCCGTGAGTTCAATATCGACAATAATTCGCTGTATGTGGGTTCGTTCTAAACAAGTTTCACTGTAGCTGGGTCCCGTAACCAGGTTGATGTTATCTATTTTGACTGTTCTAAGGCATTTGACCTCATAGATAACAATCTATCGTTGAAGAAGAAATTGTCCGGTCAGATTTTGTGTTCGAGAAAACAATTTAATATAATTGTTATTGCCTCGAAACGCATCATCCGTGCGATATCTAAATTTAATATGCCCCTCTGCATGAGTAATTGAATTTTAAACTGCTTCAATCGCCTCCTAGCTTAAACGGTGCTTTCGTTGGCAACATTGAAGCTCCGACAAAAAACATAACGCAAGGCGAGCATTTCCGTCTCGTTGTTTCCCTGCGAGTGAATGCCGCAGCGTGCTTCATTTTTGTTGTTGTGCACGACTTGTTTCGTGGATGGGTGAGATTTCTGTTGCGTGGTTGGGTGCCACAGTGCCCTGCAATCCGCGAGACGTGCAGCGACGAGCAAAATGGATCGTCGCCCTGCGAAGGGACCAATGGGTTCCCCGTCAAGATCGAGATCCCGCTTATGAAGCAATCATTTCACGGAAGAGAGCTACGAGCTGAGCTCTAAGCGGACAGAAGGCTCGTAAGCTGGGGTCCGATGCTGTGCCAATGATATTCAGCTACATCCACCCACTCCAGGCCCAAATCAGATCTATCGGCTTGATTATGCAGCGAACCAGAAAACAAACGCTAGGCCATCTTGAAACAATTCCAAATAAAAGATTTAGCACGCGTGTAGCCCGATTCTGTTTGACCTGCGCGTGAAAATGGAGCGTGGCTACAATTCACCAAGCTCGTCCAAGTCGACTGATGATCCAGAAATATGACGTGCCATTTGAACGACTCGCCTTTTGCATTCAATTCGCCGCCATTTTTTCCGAGGGAAGGACCCCCAGCCGCATCACCGATCCAGTGGATCTGCCAATATGTGTGGACCCAGGTGCCGCTTCAGAGGCAAAATCTGCGTCCTTTTTGCAAGAGGATGCAAGAGGATGTCCGAGCAGTGGCCATTGCAATTGTGTATGCGCGAAATGGCATACATTTTCTCACAGCTAACGGCTGTTTTCGAGTAATATCCTGCTAAAAGGCGCAACTTCTTTGCACACGCTGACGCAAGGTTTATTTAATATTGGTAAATCATATATCAAAATAAAAATGACTTGTCTATATGAAGGCTCCCTTGACGTAATGAGCGCAAAACCTTAAGTTGAGCGCAAACCCTTAAGTACTTCTGGTTTCAATAGGACAACCCCTTTAATATGGGTCTTTTTGACTGGTTTGGCAGGTTTGGCAGCTGCTTTAGTAACCGCTCAAATATGGTGTTATTTAGGATGCAAATCATATCCTTATGCATTAAATTCCGAGGTACCACAAGGGTCAAACCTTGGACCTTGGCTTTTTAATAGTTTTATAAATGACCTTGCAACTTGCGCCAGTAACTCAGGGATGCTACAGTTCGCCGCCGACGTGAAAATTTATCATAGTATCCGCCCCCGTCTGCTGACAGCAAACTGTTACATAACTATGTTTATGTGATTCGCCTGTGGTGTTGTACGAACTCGCTGCTTTTAAACTTCACGAAAACTAAGGTGGCCTCTTTCTCCCATAAAGTAAATGTCATTGTTCATCCTTATAAACTGCACGACTCAGACATTTTTGAGATCTCCAGTTGTAGGAGACCTTAGTGGTTTAATTGACTCGTGCCTCAATTTTAATTACCATGTTTCGAAAATTATCAATGATTCCTTATGCATCCTTGGCGTAAATTCATGCATTACCCATAAATTTCGCAGTTACACCCAGATACTGCACCCATTTCAGTCATTAGTTTTATCAAGGTAGAACTTTTCTTCTACCGTGTGGAATTCTCTGGGCGTCAGTCGAACGCTAAGGCTAGAGCACGTACAACGACTATTTGTAAGAATTATCTACGATCGCTACATTGGATAGAGTGTTTTTTATGATTATGCACGTCTCTTTAATACACTTAGTCTTTCGTCACTTTCGGATAGATGAGTAGATTGCGACATGGTTATTTTATATAAACTGCTCAATGCTGTTATTGATCCTCTCCCCCCCCCCCCTGTTATTGAGCAGAATATCACATGTTCCCCAGTGACAAAACCGGTCTATGGTTTCTTTTTACCCTTTTAACTTAGAATCTAGTCCTTCATTGACTCGGATTCAGAGCATGTATGACAAGTGTCTTAACTCTGACGTGGACCTTTTCGCTACCCTTGTATGTATTAAAAAAGTGTAAAACTAAGGGTCACTTTGTAGCGTGAAAATATTTTAGTCCGATTGTCTTTCATTTGGTGCACGTTTAATCCTCCTAAGGCCTCTGTTTGGGTCACACAAAAACATGGATCGATTGATTGATCCCAGGCACAGGGAGCGATGTCAGGTGATGAAAGGGAGCTGATTGTACTGCCAGTTTAGGGGGAGCGTATCTCAGAAACTCATCTGCCCCAAAACGGAAAAAAAGTTTCAAAAGTCTTACATTGGTAAAGTCAAAGTCGCAGTCGTCTGGAAACGGTGGGAAGACGTCCTCAGTGCAGTCCACTTCACAGATCCCAAAATCCTGGCCCGGCAGAATCTCTCCACAGTTTTGGATGACGCAGTCCTAAAAAGGTGGACACCTCGTCACACTCTCTCGAGTTAAACGTCTATGCGAAGAAACAATGAAAATGAGTCATCAAATAAAGATCCGTAATAACTATGAACAAAAGGGATCCCGGATACCTAGATGAGGCGCAGCGGTCTGCTTGGCTCACCTCGACAGGAACGTCCATGTCGGAAGTCCGCACCAGCTCAAGGACTGCGACCACACCCATTCCCTTGATCACCCTCCCGAACACGACGTGCTTGCCGTCCAGGTGGGGAGTGGGTACAGTGACGATGTAGAACTGCGACCCGTTCGTATCGGGCCCACTGTTCGCCATCGCAACCAGGCCCGGCTTGTCGTGCTGCGTGTTAACAATGCAGGTTCTTAAAGATGCCGTCAAAAATACTCGACACACTGTTTGGCACATAGACATGAATCAAACATGGACTTTTGTCATTAAAATGTTTAATTAAAAAATATGACAAACCTACCTTAACTGAAAGGTTTTCATCGGGAAAGACACGACCATAAATGCTTTCACCTCCCGAGCCGTCTCCTTTTGTGAAATCTCCGCCTTGCACCATAAATTTAGGAATAACTGCAAGGTGGAAAAAAGATAAATCCATAAATTCAATGCACCCACAAACAATCAAAAAGGCACCCCATGCCAACTTGCCGGCTTACAGCAAGAGCCATGACAAGCAATCAAAAGATTAAAAAAAATGCAAAATAGAAAAAAAAGTAAAGCGTGGACAAAACCGATTTACTTTTATGGAACTTGCATCCCTTGAAATGCAGAGGCACTTTGCTGCTGGCGCCAAGACCTTTTTCCCCCGTACAAAGACACCTAAAATTCTCCGCAGTCTTCGGATTCAGGTCCTTGAAAAGTTCGATAACAATGCGTCCAACTGGGTCAAAGGAATAAAAATAACAAGTATAAACAAAAAAAATACATAAAAAAAAAAACCGGATCAAAACAGCATTCCCTAGCACAATGCAAGCCAAAAGCATTCGCCTATGTTCGAGTTTGTACGCAACGCTTCAGTTTCCCCGAGTAAATTCCCTAAAACTCTAAAAGTGGGAAATTATAATAATGCAAGTTGATTTTTTTTTTTTTTTTTTTTCTCACGTTGATATAAATTTAAACGTCTTTCCGATAACGCGATTGTAACGTGAAAAGGCGACACCAACACCGGTAGATTCTGTACATAGCACGACACGCGGCCCAAAACAAAGTGCGAAATGCTACATCGTCCGCGCATAGCGAGCTCTCTGTTGTGAAAACATGATCGATGAGCCGGCTGACAGTTGTGTAAACAACGCCGCAAAAAACGCCTTGCAGACACAAAACGCACAGCCTATCACAATGACAAGGGCAGCCAAAGCTACGTTACAGGCTTTGAACGCAAGTAAGCACGATGCCGGAAGGCCTAATGAAATTATCCGACTCTCTGAACTTGGGAAAGATAGGGAAATCCGTGCATTACCGTACTCTTCGCCAATCCTCACGTCGAGGAACACGTGTGGGTTCGGCAACAACGAAGCGTCCGCCATTTTTAAAGACTACGGAAGGCAGACGGTGGTGGTCGGCAGTGGCATCGATGACGCTATTTTCCACGCCTGGCCCGTTGTTTGTTTACTACTGAGCACGTTCATTTGCTCGGTGCTCGCAGCCCTCTAAATTGTCACGTGACTTTTATTTCTAAGAAGAAAGACAATTTATAATAATTATATCTAAATATTTTACTTATTAAACGATACGTTTGGACAATATATATATACTCACCTATTATTACATGTTCGACATTTTCGCCTTCTGGTATCGTTTCCAGATGGCCTAGCTGTTGGTTTCGGTTTCGCTGCAAAATCAAATTGATCGATCCGATTTGGGCGAGGAGTGGATGGACGTAGTTTAATACCGTTGGCACAGCATCACATGCACCTCAGCTTACGAGCCTTCTGTCTGCACCTCCGGCCAAAATTCAAAAGCAAACAAATTACTGGTATCGCTTTAGTGAACACAAAATACGACCCCAGCCAAAATATTACGTCAAGGGGACGCCGCATTCCCAGCTAATGCCGATAATAAAAACGCGATCCGCTGCGAGCAGCCGCTCCTTAGCGGACAGCCAGCGGGTCACCGATCGCTAAAGCAACCTTGGGTCGTGACGTCACGATCGTTCTTTTTTTTCTTTTTTTTTTTTTTCCCCGGTGCGGATATGGGCTTGCCCGTTTCGCGGTCGAGGGGCGTAAAGTGCGTTTCTTTGAGACGCTACCACCGCTACTTCAGCTGGTGCTTGGCGTGTTTAGCCGTTGCTTTTATCTGTAGCCCGTGTAGCTTCGGTATATAGCCTTTTGTTTATTTGCTTGTGAGGACTCCAATTGGCTCAATTTAGTGAGCAACTCGGTGCGCACTCGCGCGCATCGTGGTGTCAGACAGAAGTACTCTTCCTGCGAGGTTCGTCACCAGGTGGCAATGGGAGCTATCATCGTCTAGGGTGCCTAGATGTCTGTCTGTCTCAGGGTGAAGACATCCATTGTTGTCCGGAATGTGCCAGCGCGTGACGCTCTCGCGCACTCGGTGCGTGACTTGGGCGGTAAGATGACGTCTATGCATCAACCAAAGCTACGCGCTCGAGCTGAGTGACACCGGATTGCGCGCACTTCAAAATGCATAAAAAAACGATTGGGCGGAAAAATGGCTGAGATGTCACCACTCAAGCAAAAGCGCGCGTGTGTATGAAGGCACTCTATCATCGTCTTCGATGTCTTCTCTTCAATAAACGACATGTCTGCTGAAAAAAAAAAAAGACCCGTTTAGTAGAAATCGGCACACGACCTTGATGCGGGGATTCAAACTCAAATGCTATTTATCCCATATAAAAAAGGCAAAGATAAAAAGAAGCATTTGTGGGTTGTCGATATACGTCCTGCATTAAATTAGTCAAAAGGATGATTCCAGCCGAACCACATGATAAAAGTATTCAGATCAATAAAGCAGTCATTGTCAAATGCGCAGTGTTGAACATGGAGCACTCACGCTCCGTTGAATGGGGAATGGTAGGCATGTAAACTACAACCACTAACTAGCCCCAATCACAAGCTTTTTTTGTGTGTGTTTCTTGTGTGACTTGAGTGCGGCAAGCCTTTTCTTTGATATTTTCACAAATTAGATCAACCACTAGACGAACTTACGTGGCAAATTACAGTGTCGTCACTTACAAACTCGCTTTTTACGCGACTCATGACAAAAAAACGAATAAACAAACTTATATAATCCAGCACACGCGTGTTCGGACGCCACGGCCCGCGACGAAGAGCCCCAAAGCTTCGTGTGTGGGACTGAACCCCAGCGCGAAAGCGAGAAGCCTAGGTATGAGTACGGACAAGCGCACGCACTGCGAGGGTTCCTTGAGTACTGTACGTCACAGGCAGTGCGGCGTATAGAGCAATGCCACTCCATCCACGGAGCCCCGATGACAATTTAAGCCTAGAGACGAGTACGGACAAGCGCACGCAAGGCACCGGCCGCCGGGTGCAAAAGTTAATCAACGCCTGCCGCGCGCGCGTTCCACCGCTCATACAAACAGCAACAAACGGTATTTTGCCGCAGAAAGTTACTTCCACCGTTTCAGCGAAATAAACGACTACGGTATTGATTTTGGCGTATGCCGTAGCCACTGCAGTCGAAGCGGAGTGGTAGTGAGATCGGCGTCCTACACCGGCACCGAACGAGTTCACTTGCCTGCCAGTCGCTAGCTTTCGGGTATACCGAAAGCAGCTTATCTTTTATCTTTAATTAAACGGCTAGCGCCACAGAGGCAGGTGGGGCAGGTGCCGCTTGGACCGCGTACTCGTTGAACAAGAACGACAGTGACGTCAAATCCGCCTAGCGGCTGATTTCCAGTGTTGCCGGGGCCTCGAGCGGCTAGTTTCGGTTTTGTGGACCGCGAAACCGAATACCGGGAAAAAATTACACCTTGTAATTCAGGGACGCTGACTGCGCTAAAAACGTAGTCATAATCCCGAAATCGAAACTATAGACCGGAGTTGCCCTTTAAAGGGACCATGAAATGACCTTTTTACTTTTTCCAGATAACTTTTACATTAAACCGTCAATATTCACTGAATGCCGAACAGGCATCCGTTTTCGTCTCGGTTTATTAACTTTTACACAAAAAATTATTGAAAAATCGACTTTTTCATTCTCTCCAACTGACCGCAAAAGAAGCCGTGACGTAGACCGTTTCCGGAACCGGAAGTTCTCTCGGCAGTAGGAGAATGGGAGTGTTAGCGGCAACGAGTTGGGGTGCGCCGGTAGGTTTTACTGCGCTGATGTCACCGACGTATTTCCTGAATCGGCGCCTCTCATCGCCGCATCGCAGCTGAGCGAAATTCAATGAGATATGTTGCGCTACAGCGACAGCATGGGACTAGTCCCATACGCCGGTATGCCTGTTGGGAAGTGCAGCGAGTCTTGTCACCACCCCGTCATTGTTGGCAGAAGGGCCGGCCCGTGTCAGTCGTTTGCAAAGCGACGTAGATGGCGTTTTTCGCGGCCTCGGAGATGCAGGAGCGAGCCGACGTTAAAAAAGATACGTTTGAACTACGAGTGTCAGCAAGAGCCACGTAAATACCTGCTTACACTCGGAGCGGACGCGCGCGCTTGATGGAAGTCTTGTATTCGCGCTGTTGGTAAGCGCTTCGGGACCGTTCTTTTACGATTGCAACTCGATACTGACGCGACACTCGGCAAAGAAAGGTTGGACCGGGGTCGACAGTGACGTGCAGTCTGTCAGAATAAAAATGGCATACCAATAACAAAGTGTACATACCGTGTTACGAAGGCAATCCATACGGCGTTTATTTCAGCTCTATATCACACAAAACAAGAAGATAGAATCGACGAGAGTCCCTTTTCGACGAGTGTTCGTCAACACTGCCTCGGAAAACAAGGGGAAGAGATTGACCTCCTCACCTCTTAATCTAGAATTGAGGTCAGTGATCAAACTATAATACGGGAAGGGTCCACAAGGGTCGCGCGGGCATATTCCATTTAGCACGCCAGCCGGTCGTAGGCAGACGGTCTTGCGACGAAGCAACGCAGCGCCGAGTCGGAATGCCTGCTAGGCCTATACGCTTCGTCGGAGTCGGTGAATCCAGCGTTCTTGTTCGTCGTGGTCTGTTTTAAGTACTGTTTTCTTGCTGCTTGAAGTCGGCACGCGCGGGAAGAACACGTAGAAAAATAAACGTTCAGTCAGTCAGAGTTTTGAGAGGAAGGAAAACAAAGAAAATAAATGTTCGTCGGTCGCCGTCACCCAAGTAACTGGCGGCCCTGCCCTACTGCGCACGCGCAGTAGTTGCTTCGTTTACCACACGATAGATGGCGCTTGGCTCTCAGCATTATCAAATTTGGCAATTTTCGCCACACATCTCTAATTATGCTACAAAATGTGGATCTGAATATTATTTAACAAAACTTTTAGGAAACATTCGCCGGCTATTTATTGTTTACGATCGCGGTGCTGGTGAGGTAGGCTCTTACCCAATAGGCGATGTGGATTCGGCTGACGTGCACCGATTCTGCGTATGCATCGTAGTGAACAGGCGAAGGAAGGAAGGCGCAAAAGAGTCCAGTTTTCTTTTAAAAGTTCTATAGCAAATAATTTTTTTGGGCTCCCTATTTTTGTGTTTTTGTGTTTCTTTTCACACCTTTTACGACGTGCGGTGGATGAAACTCGATTTTAAAATCATTTCATGGTCCCTTTAAAGCTCAGCTCGAAGCTCTCTTCTGTGAGATGATTGCTGCATAAGCGGGATCTCGATCTTGACGGGAACCCCTGCAGTTACTAGAACCCTGCGCGGATAACAGTTTGATTATCCACATCTGATTAGCATCCGCAGGCTTTGTATCTGCATCCGAACCGCATCCGCAAACTTTTTACATTATCGTATCTGTATCCGATCCGCATCTGCCATAGAGATCATACATACTAACTCTAGAGCAAAAGGTCCGCCATTTTCCCATACATTCTGGCTGCCGCAAGCGGCGGATCATGCAGGCAGACCCTCGGGGTCCCAAACACGGTTACATCATCAGAGCAGTTTCGTGAACTTCAACAATTCACGAACTTACCGGTGGAAAGATATTCACGTTCCTTTCGAAGCTTTCTTTTTGAAAAGCGCGCAGATGTACGGCCTCGCGTTAACGCTAAACTAAACCATATTAGCCCCGAGAGCGAACACAAGCGTCGCTGCGGTCGCCGCGCCCTGATTGGGTGAGGTGTACCGTGACGTCAGGGGGAGGACTCCGCTCCGCGATCTCGCATCGGCTTGCTTCCCAGCGCCGGTTTCCTGGTTTGGTGTTGTGTGCTGCAAGCTCTTCGAGGAGCTGGACTTCGTTTACCCGGTGTACAAGACGTTGCGTTAGGCCGATATTGACGTGCTTCCGTACATTTTATAAACCTGTTTGTCCCCTTTACCTTTAAAATTGGGTTACGAATCCCGAAAGCTATCGGAGGAGGCAATTTCGCCGATGAACCTCCCCGTCCGTCCACGCGACACAAGGCAATCTTGCGAGGGGGTAAGGCATTTGAAGTGGCATTTGGCTTT